ACCCCAAACCCAGACCCCAAACCCAGACCCCAAACCCAAACCCAAACCCCAAACCCAAACCCCAAACCCAAACCCCAAACCCAAACCCCATTCCCTGTCCCCCCTGACCGGTGACGACTCCGGGGTCGATGTCGAAGGTGTCGTTGCCGGGGTCGATGTCCCCCCTGCGGAAGAAGCGCTGGCACAGCCGGAGCTCGGCGCTGTCCCCGTACGCGTAACGGCCCAGGGACTCGTTGGGGACAGCCAGGTACTGCGGGGACAGGACACGGGGCTGGGGGTGGCCCTGGGGCACCTCAGTGTCCCCAAACCCCTCCCGGTGTCCCCAAACCCCTCCTGGTGTCCCCAACCCATCCCGGTGTCCCCAAACCCCTCCCGGTGTCCCCAAACCCCTCCTGGTGTCCCAAACCCATCCCGGTGTCCCCAAACCCCTCCTGGTGTCCCCAACCCCTCCCGGTGTCCCCAACCCATCCCAGTGTCCCCAAACCCCTCCTGGTGTCCCAAACCCCTCCCAGTGTCCCCGTGTCACCTTCTCGAGGACAAAGGCCAGGTTCTCCAGGAGGTCCCCGCGGGTGTAGGTGGCCTGGGTGTCATCGGCGCCGTCCTCGTAGCCCTTGAGGAACAGGTGCTTGAAGGCCACCGTGTTGTCCTCCTTGAAGGCCACCACCAGCTGGTTGCTGAGCCCGAACAGGATCAGCTGGGGACAAAGGCCACCACCTCTGTCACCAGCTGTCCCATCGTGGTGACACTGCTGTGTTTGGTCCCAAAACGGTGTCACAGCTTGGGGACAAAGGCCACGGCTGCCATCAGCCCCTGTCCCACCGCAGTGACGCTGCCATGCTTTGTCCCAGGACACTCCAGCGTCCCTTTCCGAGTGTCCCCATGTCCCTGTGTCCCTTTCCGAGTGTCCCCGTGTCCCTGTGTCCCTTTCCGAGTGTCCCCGTGTCCCTGTGTCCCCTCCTTGGCGTCCCTGTGACACATCCCTGATGTTCCCATGTCCCCTCCCCAGTGTCCCAGCCCCTCCCGCTGCCATCCCCGGTGTCCCCAGTGTCCCTGTGGCACATCCCTGGTGTTGCCATGTCCCTTCCCCGGTGTCCCCACGTCCCTGTGTCCCCTCCCCAGTGTCCCTGGCACCTCCCCATGTCCCTGTGTCCCTTCCCTGGTGTCCCCATGCCCCTGTACCCCCTCCATGATGTCCCAGCCCCTTCTGCTGCCATCCCCGGTGTCCCCACTGTCCCTGCTGCCATCCCCGGTGTCCCTGCTGCCATCCCCGGTGTCCCCTCGCTGCCATCCCCAGTGTCCCCCGCTGTCCCTGCTGCCATCCCCGGTGTCCCCGGTGTCCCCGGTGTCCCCTCGCTGTCCCTGCCATCCCTGGTGTCCCCGGTGTCCCCTCGCTGCCATCCCCGGTGTCCCCGGTGTCCCTGCGGCCATGCCGCGGGCGCCC